TAATTAAAGAAAACAACTAGTTGGAGGCAGTTACTTTCTGTGAAATGTAATGAAGATTTATTTTGTAAGTGACCTTCACTGTATTAGCGGAATCAGTAATCAGTAAAATTAATAGAATAATCAAATTATATACAAACTCATAAATCATCACGAATATGCTGTCAAAAATTCAACTTTTAATATGTCCTATTGTTTCACAGCTGTATTAAAAATTACAGCTACTGATTCCTGCCTTGATGGGAACTGAAATGGCATTTAAAGGCTGTGTATGACGGAGAGCTACCAGGCCAAAAATTTTCACAACTGTTAATTTAGCTGTAATATGATTTGATGTCACCAGGGCAAAGTTGAAGTTGAGTACAGTGTTGTTACTATCTTTCAGCAAAACTTGAATTATTGATGTAGGCAGTCGCCAGTTAATTAGAGTAATATCAGTTTAAATGTCTGTCATTTAGGGTTAATGGTATCAAAGAGTTGCCTTGTACTTGAAGTACAGTCAGATCATCTTGAATAGCCTATTGTATGAAAGTAAGTTAGCACAATGATTTTACTTTGTCATAAATTATCGGGATGCCATTTAGTTTAATATTTCAATTTTTATATTTAAATAATTTTGGCAAGTTCTTCCTAATATGTCATTTTTCATGCTAGGCTGTTTTAATAGGTATTTTGGCTCTTTGTAATTGTTTAACACAACACAATCAAAATTCCTTTCCATTTTCATTTAAAAAGAGAAGTTTTCCACCAGTCCACTCTGAAAATAGGTCATGCCCTCCTCCGCTGGATAGCAGGCAACTCTTGGAAATAACTAATTCACATTTTTGCGCAGCCAAGCAGGAAAGTTCTTTCAAAGCACGCCAGAAAAATAAAGTGCATATATCAAAAAGCCCTTGACTGTGGTTGAAGTCAAAGGAAAAATATAATTTATAGTTTTTAACAAAGGAATCGTAGTTCTAGTTGGGTTAATAGTGCTGTTTTTTTATACAACATATAAAATAAATTCATCTGAGTTGGTTTGAAAGATCCTAATACATGCTTTGTCAGGCAAGAAGCCATTGATTGCAGCATTAGAGATAATAAGCCTGTAGCTCAAGGCTCTGTAATAACTCTTCAGCGGATGTTTAACCTTTGTGTTGTCTTCAACAATCTCCAGACAACCAAGGTTGGGATTCAACATGGTATATGTTCCCCCTGCTTTTGCATGGGTAGAAGAGGTATTTCTAGAGAACTGGATCCTCTGATTCAGCCAGTAGTAAGTGATATCACTGACATTTCCTTAGCCTGCTACCTTTTGGAGCCCAACTCAGAAGAAATGTGAGTTGGTAACACATTTTAGCTGTGTCATCCATGTAATTTAAAAGGTATTGCAGTACTAACCGTCTTTGAACTGTCTGAACGACTTTTGAATGCCAGTATGGATGCCATTTTAGGAACTCAGGTTTGCAAAAGAGCTGTTTAACTTTAAAAAAAAAACAACCCAAACAACCTGTTTTTGTAAACCAGAAAAATCCTGCTATCATCCCAGAAATTTGGGAGAACTATGTTCCCCCAACCCAGCCTGCCTTTCTCATATTGATTGTGTGCTTTGGGTAGTCTGATGCCTAGCTAATGGTAGAATTGTAGTCACACTGATCTGTGTGACTTTACAGTGTAAACTTTACTAAAAGATAAATAGAATTACACATTCTTATTTTAAATATAGTACCTAAGCAGACTCTGTTAATGAAATAGCAAGTGCAATTTCTAATTTTTATGCTCTCCCAGTTTCAGCTCTGTCTGTCCATCTGTGAGCTGAATATCAAATGGTTGGGTCATACTAAACTTCAGCTGAATAACGGGAACTTGGGAAACTCACAGTATCCTTCTCTGGCATGATAAAATGGAACAGTGTGTCACTGTATTGAATGGGCTAGATACTGTTTTATGATTTACTCATAAGAGGCTATTTACTTTTGAATAACAGGGATCACAAGAAGAACACAGGTGTATTTAACTTGGAAGGAGTTAACAAAGGAAGAATTGCCCAATGTGGCCTGATAGCATTAGACAGTTGTCTCCGATAGAGCACTTCTCTCTGAGAAAAGGATAGGCAGTTTATGTCAATATGCAAATTATTTGTCCATTCTTTCTCTTCAGCATTCATGACAAGAGGTCAGTGAGAGCTGATTTATCTGAATAAACCACTGGAGGTTCTTAAATAAATTAAAACCCCATACCATTAAAGATTCCCAAGATAGATCAGACATTGCAAACAGTCCAAAGCTGAAATTGTATTGTAAGGGATAGACACACCTTCCCCATGTTTTCTCTTTACCTTTTTCCACTGAGTAATTTCCATGGTGACTGGAAATTTTAAAGAGAAAGATGATTTCTTATTTAATGCAATTTGAAAAAATATTTTCTTAAATGCTCTTACTACCAAATTCTGGAGAACTTAATTGTTTGCACTTTGTATTATTATTATACTAAGAATGCCCCTGAAATAATGCACTGTAAACAAAAAACTGGCTGACGTTTATCGTCCTGCGTGACATCCTTGTCTCTAAATTGGAGAGACACGGATTTGATGGGTGGACCACTTGGTGAATATGGAACTGGCTGTACGATAGCACTCAAAGAGTTGCAAGTCAGTGGCTCAGTGGGATTGAGTGCATCCTCACTTTGCACCCTCAAGTTTGCCAATGGCACCAAGCTCTGTGGAGCAGTTGGTAACGCTGAAAGGAAGTGATGCCATCCAGAGAGACGTTGGGAGGCTTGAGAGGTGGGCCCATGCAAACGTCATGAAGTTCAACAAGGCCAAGCGCAAGGCCCTGCACATGGCCTGGGATAATCCCAAGCACAAATACAGGCTGGGCAGAAAAATGGATTGAGAGCAGCCCTGAAGAGAAGGACTTGGGGGTGTTGGTTGATGAGAAGCTCAGCATCAACCTGCAATGTGTGCTCCCAGCCCAGCAAGCCAGCCATATCCTCAGCTGCATCAAAAGAAGCATGGCCAGCAGGGCGAGGGAGGGTATTCTCCCCCTCTGCTTCTCTGTGGTGGGACCCCACCTGGAGTGCTGTGTACAGCTCTGGGGCCTGCAACATAAGAAAGGACATAGACCCATTGAAGTGGGTCCAGAGGAGGGTCTTGAAGATGATCAGAGGGATGGAGCACCTCTCCTATGAGGACAGGCTGAGAGAGTTGGGGTTGTTCAGCCTGGAGAAGAGAAGGCTCCAGGGAGACCTTGTAGCCCCTTCCAGTACTTAAAGGGGCTACAGGAAAGATGGGGAGGGACTCTTTATCAGGGAGTATAGCAATAGGATGGGGGGGTAACAGTTTTAAACTGAAAGAGGGGAGATTTAGATTAGATGTTAGGAAGAAATTCTTCACTCTGAGAGAGCTGAGACACCGGAACTGGTTGCCCAGACAAGTTGTGGATGTGTTCAAGGCCAGGCTGCATGGGGCTTTGAGCAGCCTGGTCTAGTGGGAGGTGTCTCTGGCCATGGCAGGGGGGTTAGAACTAGATGATCTTTAAGGTCCCTTCTAATCCAAACCATTCTATGATTAACTCACAGCTTATGAAGCTTTGCCCTTGAGAATCTCTAACATACATCCTCTTTATGTAAGATCATGAATTTCTCCGTGTTATGATGTGTTATGATGCTCTCACAGAAAGTTTAAAGAGTTTTTTGAAAATACATAAAGTGAATCATATGTAGTAGTTTATGCTTTCTTGATAGCATTTTGAAGAGTGTGGATTTAAATTAAAACCTTTCAGAAGCTAGAATTAAAAAAAAAAAAAAGGTTAAAAGTAGTGATATCACAGTCATCTCAATGTTAATGTGGGTCCAGTAAAAGTTGTAGGCATCACCTTGTGTCACATCAAATCAAGAGAGAAGTAATTCCCAGAGATTAAGCCTGTCTTTTGGCAGATATAGGAAGTTAAGATGCAAAGATTAACCTGGGGTCATGTTTATCACCAGATCAAGTGAACTTTGACTGTGCAGCTTTACAGGAGAGCAGTCTCCAACTTTGTGCATAGGACAGGTTCAGCTGGTGAAGAGCCACAGCGTGGCTAGTGGTGACATTTTGCAGTGGACTTACTTGACATGGAGTCCCTCATGTTTAAATATCATAATCTAGTTTCTTTAAATTTTGAGTCTCCTTAGAGTTTAAATGCAGATGAGTTCCGATATTGGCTTACTGTTTGGGTAGCATAATTTTCTTTGTGTTGGGTACTGGGTTTTATTTTGGGTAGCATATTTTTCCTTGCTTTGGGTACTGGTTTTTGTTTGTAAGTGGAAGACTGATAAATAGCTTAGTATACTTCAGCTTTTGAAAAACCGAGCAGTGAAGCTAGTTCCTTTTTTTCATTTAGGAAATTTTTCTATCATCAGTCCACACATAGAAGATCTTAAGCGATTGTATCATAATTTAGGCATAATCTGGAGGAATCACTGTAAGAGGTCGTCTTTAGATAGTAAAATTCTTCATTCTGTTGGGGCACTTCTCAGTGCCCTCAAAATTTGAGCTATTTGTAGTCAGTGAAGTTTCCACAGGACATTTTCTGAGAGTAGAGAAATAACTTCTGAATCATGCTCACAATTCTAGTAGGAGGTTAGTGTGGTTATCATGTGTTCTTACATTTTTATTCTACACCATGTGCAATGTAGCAGCGTCAGAATATCAGTAAATATTCTAAGCATCTTCAGTAAATTTGTGCTTTTCCATCCTGAATGACTGAAGATGGTGGCAGAGAATGAGTGCTCAAACTAATGTAACAATTTAGAGGACAGATAAATGCTAATACAAAGAAAAGTTAACAACATATCCTTTACAAAAACAATATGGCATGCTTTATTTTCATTGGGTTTTGATTGTCTGATTCAGAGATTAAGATATGCCATTAAAAATGTACTACAACATGCAAGGTATTTTTCTTTGCTTATGACACACACTCATAATGATTACAATTAGTTGTGATAAAAGTAACCTTTATTTTTTCCTAATATGTTTCTAGGTTGTGTGCTGTATTTGGTGGTGTCTATTGTCTACGCCATCCTGTGCAGTGCCTTGTAGTGGACAAAGAATCTGGACGGTAAGGGTAATATAAGTAACCTCCTGTTTATATACAAAATACAGATGAAAAATGTGTGAAGTCAATTTAAAAAAAATGATTCTTCAAAGATCCTCCTTGGTATTAATAACACATCAACCTTGATTAAAAGTAATTTGTGTATAGGTCCTCCAGAACAAGGAAAGTGGTCTAGAATATAGAAACTAAATTAATTTCCCTGTGATATTACTACAGCTCCTGATCACCCAAGCTTGGAAGACAAATCATTTCAGCTGCCGGGGGGCTGGTGATGAGTGATGTTAGTTTTCCTTGTGGCCTTACCTACTCTAATTGATTTTCATCAGATGACAACAAAGCCCTCTGTTATTGCATTTTTAAAAATGGAGCTCACCTAAAGACTCATCAGATTAATCTTTGCTGATAATGCATGTCACTCCAAGAGAAAAGACTTTAATGAGTTTTTAGGTAGATTGTTGTCATAAACTATGCTGCCCTCTTATCCTAGGATAAATTCTTCTACAACGATATCAGGCCTGTAGGCGGGTTTACAGTTCAGCTAAGAAAAATCAACCTGTAGTTTTTTCCATAGTGGTATCTTTCACACCTCTAAATTATCATGGTTTCTGTTATATATATTCTATCAGTTAGTAGTCTGACTGCAGATTTTGGTTCTTTTAAGAGTCTGTTTTCAGCTCAGTTTCTGTAATTGAAAAGTTCAAAATCTTCTGCAGAAAATTTTGAAAATTAAGCTAGAAAATATGTAATAACATTTTTATTAGGAAAATTAGTAAATGGTCGGTGTAATGTGTTTACTTTCCAGTTGCACTGCACATTTGACTCTTTGAGCACAGTACTTGAGCACAGATTTGTCATTACATAGTCAAGTAGTGTCTGTTTTCCCAGAAGTTCTATATACAACTGATCTTACCTTTCTGTCAGTTCCTTAAGGTTCTGAAGTTCATTGCAGTTTTTGACTTTGAAAGATGCAAATGTAATAGTATTTCATCATGTGTGACTTTAACAGATTTTCAGTATTCCAAAACCACTGCTCTTTTAATAATGCTGTTATCTGATGCTGAATATGAAGAAGCACAACACGTGCAGCTTCTCAAGGCTAGTCACCTGCCTTTTCCTTGGAGCTGCCTGCCTTCTTCTGTTGTCTCCTCTTAGGTCTCCCATAGTTTCAAAACAGGTATTTTACCAAGTAGTATTTCTACACCAAAATAAAAGTAAACCAAAAAAAAAAGAGAAGGGCAAGTGTCAGACTTCTTTGAGATGATGAAAATAACGCAGCCTAGGTCAAAATAATTTTTTTAAAAAGGTATTTTCAGTAACGAAAGATGGGATACAACGTTCCCTTTTTTCCTTAATGATTTTTTAAAGTGTCAAACATCATCTTCACTGTAGCAAAAATGTCACTTAGCTGAGTTTCTTTGATGCAGGTATATGTTTTTATTCAGTTATATTATTTTTTCTTTTATTTTCTTTCACCTGAATCCAGTAGTGCTTTTACTTGTTAATTCTTTTCCTTGGAGTGTTACTTCAGCAAGCAACCCAGTTAATTGCTAAGATCATCACTATTTCCTTTCCCTTCTTTTGCTTTCTTCATCTCTCTCCTACTGTGTATTCCCTCCCTGCACCAGTTCCAATTTCCTCTTGACTTTGGGCTTCAGTGTTTTGCCTAATAAAAATTGGCTATCAAATCATTAATGAGGGTATTTATGAGTTACTGAGCTTTTGAGTCAACAGGCCATTAATAGACAAATTCATATCTTGTTGTCAGTACAGCTGTCTCTGTAGCTTCACGGGCAGCTTATCGTGGTTACAAATAGGTTAAACTCACAATAGTAGAAATGTAGTCAGAGTGTGCAGTATTCATTTCTATTTTGTAAGCATCTTCTGTGCAGATCTTAGTGCAGTTATTTTTTCACTATTTTTTATAGTGAAAAAAGCTATTTTTTATAGCTTTAGTACATGTAAGGAAAATTTGTGCTTATAGCTACAGCCTTGATTTTCTTCTCAAACTTTTTGTGGATAGAGTTTGATTTGAAGTTCTTAAATATCATCAAAGTTTATTCTAGCTCCTTTCTAGACATGGCTAACATTCTCTCCAGCACAAGAAAAATAAGAACCCATTTAATATCTAGTTCAATTGCTTTTTCACTTTTTTACCACCCATAACTGTATATACAGAGAACAGTAGATTTCATTCCCAACTATATAATTATCTTTATCATTTTACTATAGCCTTTTTTATAGTTTATGAAAGTAAGATTGAGGGCAGACAGTGTGGAAGTATAGAAACTTTTAGACATACCTATCTTAAGGTTTTGGTAATCCACTTTAAAGTTTCTAATTTTGACGGATTTTATCATATTAGGTCTGCTGTTTTAATACATATGCAGACCATCCTGCGTTCTTGATAGAACTCTGATGCTCTGTTAGAAAATAAAAACCATATCATATTCCTTAGGTTGATGAAAAAACATATTGAATGTATGCATAATTATTTTGTTGTTGCTTATTTTTTCTGTGTTATTGTAGGTCACTTTTTGGGGTACATATGATAAAATTTGAAGTATTTTTAGTTACATGGATTGCATAAATAATTATGGTAGGCATTTTATGTTAATCGCACTTTACATATGTTTCCAATTACATAATTCTGTCTCAAAAATGGGAAAGATGTGATAAATGGAAATTTATACATCTGTAATAAAAAGATATAGCAAACACATAGTAATTTACATATCTTTCTTGAAATATTGCATACTGGCTTTGTCAGTGCTGGTAAGTCCATTTCAAGGATGTCGCCCTTAGTCCATTAGTTTGGATAATGAGCCCTATAAAGTACATTTATAACTCGTGGCACTGCAAGGAGATGGATTCTAATTTTCATCCTTTTATCTAGACACATTGAAAGAAGGTCAATGGAGGGTTCTCTATGATTCATTGTCCCAACACATATCAGATGACAGAGACCTGATAATGTCAGTGCATAAGTGTTTTCCATATTTGGAAGCAGTACTTGAAAGAAATTTTCTCAGCATCATCCTTTGAAGTAAAGTGGAGACTAAAATTAAAAGTGCTATCTCTTTTTCTGTTTAAAATCTTATCAAACATATGACCTGATAGCTATTCCTGAACAAAGGAGAGGAAACAACACTTAGCAGGAAAATAAAAAGTGTGTAGTTGCTTTTGCTGGCTTTGAGTGATGCAACATGACATTTAATCAACCTTTCCCCTTCTGTAACGTTTAGGGGGGTGGCAGGGGAAATTGTTTCATAAACAATAAGAAAGGTTATAATTAGAAATGAACTGTAGCAGCTTGACTTCCTTGTTTATTTGCAGTATTCAAATGAGTGCTTGAGAATGAAATCAGTTAGGTTAACAATAAGAAAAACCTTACAGTTGCAAGTGAAACACATGTTGAATAGAATGTCATCGAAACTGTATGAAGAATACTACATGTTTAAACAGTGCTTGTACCATTAGGCATCTTTTAATGTTTTCAAGTTATCTGTTCAATTAGAATATAGGTATATATGTAGTACCCAGTTTCCTGTGAAGTCAACATTAGAAGTTAGCATTATACAAACATGCTTAATTGCCATAAGCCTCTTAGATTTGTAAATAAGCATTGTGTGCACCCTTTGTTAATTCTCTTTTCAGGCTACAAAACCAGCTGATTTACTAAAGCTAGTGGCAGCTGATTGCTATTACTTCTTTAGGTTTCGTTCTCATCTCTAGTTTCCTAGAGAGTTTTGATTACAGAAGCTAATGAATAACTTGGTCACAGAAATGCTCTGTATTCATAAGGCATAACTTGCATGTCAGATATCAATTCATACAGGAATAATGTTGTGCTATGATAAAACACATTTAAATCTGTAGGGAATCTCTGTCTTAGGCATCCTTTTGTTTCTTTTTGATGTTTCCCTGTGCGTATGTGTGTGGAAATGTGTGTGAGACAATTTACTGATTTCAGTCCTGTGTATTAAATCAACTGAAACATTGAGATACTGATTAAGAAGAATTTCATTTTAAAAAAATGCAGTAACTTTCATACGCCAAGCAAAAGTTAAATGAAACTAATTTGCTTTATTTATTTATACAATAAATGTTCTGATATTGTAGAAACTTTAAAATCTTGTTTTAAATGTCAGTATTAAGCGTTAAAGATTCTTAGTATATGCAAACAAGCTATAAAGAAAGAAATTGTAGTGCATGTATTTTCCTTGCACTTTAGATCGGAAAAGCATTCATTAAGGTAGGTGCTCTTTAAACCTGTAGGAGTTTCTAAAAATGTTTGTAGCATCTCAGTTTGAGGAAAATGTGTACAGTTAAATTGAACACAGATTATGGCATGTAGGAATCAGCAGTAGAGGCTGGGTTTAGTTAGTATCTGCATGCACCCTCTTTTTAATTTTTTTTCATATATATTATTTGGTTTCATATATGTCATACATGAATCTGAAGTTTGTTCTTTCATAGAGACTTTTCCCCATTAAAATCTGAAATTTGTATCCTGTTTTCATTTAAGCACTCTGAATTGCTTCTTTCCTGTGGTTTGCATTTCTGAACCATTTATCAGATTGTTATTTTGTTGTGTTACGCTTGACTCCTGAAAATTCTTGTAGCAGTGTCCCAATTTTTAGTTATTCTAATTTTGTTTTGACCTGCTTGCATTCAGAAAGGCTTTTTTGGAGGGTCTTGGGTTTGGTTTGGTTTTGTTTGTTTGGGATGGGTTTTTTTGGGGGCAGGGATGATGCGTTTTTTGGTGCTTTTTTTTTTTTTTAGTTTTCAAACTATTGCCTGAGGCAAATACATCTTTGCTTTAGAATTTGTATATATTCAAAGATAATCAGTATCTACCAAAACATTTGTGTTGCTTTTAAAGCAATATGACTTAGTTACTCCTTTTTGTAATTAAGAGATAAATGCTATGTTTAGTCACAAATATAGAAGCTCAGAAAAGTCCTTGTCTGATGCACGTATTTTTCAGGGATTTTTCCTTACATCTCTGAAGTTAATTTGCCATGTAATTTGTCAAATATGATTGGCAAAATAAATTTGTCTTTGGTAAGGTAGGTGACTGGGGGGGAAAAAACCCACCGTGATCAGGTAACACCCACAAAACCATTCACAGTATTACTTTTCATAGAATCATAGCGTCATCTAGGTTGGAAGGGGCCTTTAAGATCATCTAGTCCAACCATCAACCTAACTCTGATTAAAATAAATAAAATAAAACAAAAACGAAAGAAAACCATACAAAAGAACCCCCCACATTACTGAACTATGTCTCTAAGCTCTTTGTCAACCTCTTTTTAAAATACCTCCAGGAGTGGTGCCTCAACCACTTCCCTGGGCAGCCCATTCCATGTGTCAGGAGGTGAGATACCTAAGCTGTTTTTGCCTCCAGTCAAATGCCAGCGTTATTAGCTTGTATTTAATTTTCTGTATAATGTGACCAATTTGTTAAAGTTCTAATATCATTAGCAATAACAGCATTGTATAGATTAAAAAAAAATAGATGTATATACCAAGTAGAATGTGTAAGTCTAGGATTTAGTTATCAATTTCAGTTGAGTTGTTTCAGAGGTTCACATATTAAAAAAGTGGGTAGCTAACTTATTTGAAAGATATAAATGATGTTCTGTGTAACTCAGTTTTGAAAACTTACACGTCCTTTGTTACCGTATATCTAAATTTCTTATTTCGGTTTGAATTTTTTTAACAGTTGCAAAGCTGTTGTGGATCATTTTGGACAAAGAATAAGTGCTAATTATTTTATTGTGGAAGATAGTTACCTTTCAGAGAGTGTATGCACAAATGTGCGTTACAGGTATGTAGTAAAACAGTAAGCACAGCAAATCTCTTTAAATTATAGTGTATAAAGTATCATGTGAGTTAAGAGATTATTGTCTCCTACTTTATCTTGGCAGTACAGCTTAGTTCTGTGCATAGTTTTTCTCTTCCTCTGTATACTTGAGGACATACTGTACTTTCTGTGTTTAGGTTTTCTTAAATTTTCCTCTAAACTATATTCCCCTTCTCCTTATGAAGAAATCCAATAGCCCTAAGTGCATTTCACATTTGTTAAAATGTGTTTGGAAGGTGAAGGTGCCTGCTACTGCTCTCCCTTTAAATATGTTCAGGATTAGAATAGTACTAAAAGTCATTGTTTTCTCTGGTTTTCATTGTTCTTGCCCAAAATATAGCATATACTGTCTTTGTCTTCAAAATACTGCAGACGAGATAGCAGCAAAACTGCAATAGTAGGTGCAGTATGGAAATAATCGTAGGCAATGGAGAGGATTTGACACTTCACGAACTTCACCCTAGTGTATTTCCCCTTAATCCAAAGTGTCCTATGCTGTTTGGAACATAAAAAGTCCTGTAATATGCTACTATTAATCTTCATCAAATAAAAAATAAGATAATAAGATTTTTTTTAAAAATCTGAAGGATATTCAAGCTGTTTTGTATAACGGCACCGGCTCATTTATTCATCATCTGGTTTGGTCATTGAAAGTACTACATTCATGTTCCAGATGTGGTCCTACTTCAGCAACAGGCAAAATACCTAACTAACGGTCATATTAATAAAGATTATATGTTTAAATAGCCTTCCCACAGTATTCTGTTTAGATTGCTATTGCCAAAATTCTGAATCCAAATTGCTATTTTTTACATTTTTGTGAAATGCCGTAACTGTTTTATTTAATTGTAGGCAGATCTCCAGAGCAGTGCTCATTACAGATCAATCTGTACTAAACACAGATTCAGAGCAGCAGGTATATATCAATTTTGTATCACTTATCTCTTTATTAATTGTATGTATTAATATTTAGCTCTCGGTAGGAATTAATTCATGCTTTTCTTTTTCTGCTTGAATCCAGCTTTTTAGACAGCTCTCTGTACGATTATTCTTTAATTCATTAGTCTGTATAAAACCATTAGGAATGTTTGGGGTTTTTGTCAATGACATGGGTTTCCCTGTTTGGTGGTTGGCACTATATGAACTAACAGTTTCTAATCTGCTGTATTTAGGGTAGTTGATTTTGCTTGCTTTTAATAAACTGTTTTCCTTAATATTCTGTTAATTGTTAATTATTTATATCATCAAACTTTGTTCAAAGCTCTTTTGGTTTTTTTAACACTCACTTTTACCATTCAAAGTTCTTATTACACACTTTCAGATCCTTCTTTTAATGTTTCTGTTTCGTCAGTCTTTGCAAACCTCAATTTTAAAGGATATTCATCTGTTGTTTCTTCTGTTTGCATCCTGTATTCTTACAGGTTAAACAGGACCTACAAAATAAGAACATATGAGACAGAGAAGTCTGTTCTTCCTAAGTCTTGCTACTGGCATCCTGCATAATATTACTGCACTCTTTCTCACCAAACAGTGCTCTGCCCAGTGTTCAAAAAACATTTTGCAGTCTCTTGCCAGCAGAGTTTCTAAACTTTCATCCTTTTGGAAAGGATGGTGGTGTGAGGTTTCTTTCTGGTCTGCTGTTGCAGACATTCCTAGCAAATGTGGCCTTCCTGACTTTGGTAGAAATTCTTGACTGCAGAATTGATTCCGCAAATTGTTACTGATAAACCAAAACTGTATAAACATCTGCAGATATTTTTCACCTTTACTCAGAATTTTGTTGGTTACCTCATCCTCTGTGTTACTGCTTTAACGTATGTTGCTCTTTTGACTTGATAGGTTTCCATTTTGATGATGCCTCCAGTGGATGTAGGAAAACCAGCAGTTTGTGTAATTGAGTTGTGTTCCTCAACCATGACATGCATGAAGGACACTTGTAAGTACAGGGTATATGTAATCTTAACTATATCTTTCCCATTGACTCTATCAACTCTGAAACAAAAATTAAAATATGTGTATATCAGCGCTCTGCTGCACAATGACCAGGTTATTACCTGAGAAAATAGTGTGTACTGGGTATTGTTACCAGCAGAGGAGTGAAATAGTCCGTTGCCTTCATGCTGTATCAGTTATGTGTCGTTTCATACGGCTTCATATGAAGAAATTATACCACAAGATTCTTACTGCATTCGAGTTCTTGTAAATTTACACATGATAATTATTTATTTAAAATCTTACTGTGATTTTCATGGTAATACAGTCTATTGTTCTTTATTTCCAAACAGGTCAAATGTTCCTTTAAAATCTTATGTGGCTAATAAGCTTCGTAGTTGCAGCTTTATTAGTACATGGACAATATTTAGTTGCTGTACTGTAATTACAAAATAGCACCACAATGAGGTTTTTGTTCTGGCTGCTCTAATATTATTTTTTTACATTAAAAAAATAAAAGAGTATTATAATTCTGCATTTTCTTTATTCTGTGAGATTAAGACAACTGAAAGTTTAGTGGAATGGCAGACAAGGTTAGTGGAGAGCTCTAGTAGACTGTTTTTCTCCACTGTAATTAGCTAAGATTGTGTAGTCCTCAAGTCAAAATATTAAGATTTTTTTTTTAAATTTAAAAATGTTTTCTTTGTAAAATATTCTAGCAAGAATATTTCTCTTACTGCTATAAGTAAAGTGCAAAAACCCACCCAAAGTATTCTCTTCTGAATTATTCGTTTCTTAAAAAAATGTAAGCAAAAAGCTGTGGGGTCTTAGTTAATATAGATGCATGTATAGTGTGTTTTTTTCCTTTCAGACTACCTTTAGACCTTAAGAGAATCTTTATGCTATATGATTATTCTGTGGCCCCGTGAAAAATGCTACAAATTTTTGTTTTTATAAGGATAGATTTTCAATACAAGCATCAAGTTATATTTCAAGATTATTTCTAGCAGAATATTTTGAGGTATCTGTTCTTGTCTATTTCTACTTTTTTTTTCTTCATCAGCATATACTGAACAATTGATAGAGTACAGTTAATACAATAATAAATTTTTCCTTCAGTAGGTTTAAAAAAAATTCTGAAGCACATAAATCTGACTGTTAGCTTGTCATTAGCTTGCTTTTTGAAAAGGAGTACTTCAACTGAACTATCACATTGAAGTACCTGAAGTGCACTGTATTTGGGGGCTATCTATTTTCTGAAAGTTTTGGGGGAGGTGGGCTTATGTCCCATTGTGATATTTGGAGGAAAGGAGTGCATTGTGGTCTATTTGAAGGAAAGTTGTAAAAGTTCTTTTAAGAACTTTGTTGTCCACTGCATTAGATTCTTTAATTCTAGAAATATCTGAGATCACTTTTCTGGAAAGGACATCCTGGTATTTCCAGTAACAGTTTTCTGTGTGCAGAGCTTTATGACTGTTGTTGGTATTTTATGTGAACAGATGAGCAATAGAATGTTCTTACTGGGTATGTATTTTTCTTTCCAAATTCTTTTAAAAATATTACCAGTTTGGGACGCTCTATGGAAGACAAATAGAACTAGAGGTTACCTGACGTGATGCTTTTAGACAAAAAATAAGTAACTGTAATAATAACCAATTTATCTTACTGTTACCTCAGCTTGTACTCAGGTCTTTGCATGTGAAAGAAGAGTGAACTAAATGTTTATGTAATTGAAAGTTATATTTCCTACTTAAACAATTTAAAAAATGGAAAATTTGTAATTAACAACCTAGTGCTATAAAACATATTGCTAATATTTATCCTTTTAATAGCTGATTTACTTTATTTAAGGGTTCACAAAATAAATATAGCAGGAAAGTAAAACTAAAGAAGGATTGATGTTCAAGTAGATATAAATCATTAGTTCATGAAACTTGATGAAAAATTAAGGTTTCTGTTATTTACATCTCTCTATAAATTCTTTTATTTTCAGAAGACAAAGTACTACATTCCGTAATGAAATTTGTCTGCATGCATTGAAATAATATAGCTGTATTTTAGGTATAGCTAAATTCTATTTATGGGACATATTTCATAATTTTTTTAAACTTTTACATCATTATCTGTAAATGGGTTTTAACCTGACTGATTTCTCCTTCAAACAATTATTTAAGATAAGTATACAAATACATCTACTCTTTGATCACACTGCATAAATGACAGGCACATAATCTGTATTGCCAGTTGAGTGGAACCAAACTCCTTCACTTGCCCTAAAAATTGAGACCGTAATGATGAAATCATGAACTAAACTCATCGTTCTTCTTGCTAGAAGAATTACTTGAAGACAAATGTTGGCAACCACTGTAACTAATGCAGTTATACCTGAGTAAATCAAATATAATCAAAATATATACTGATGACTGTGACTTATAGCCATAACCTTAAAGATAATAAAAAAGATTCTATAGAAAGTAAATGATGTGAACTTTAGTGATTTATAGTTGGGTTTTTTTGAGGAAAGAAGAGATTGTATTACAGTGTTAAGGGTTGTAAACATTTAGATAAGGTTACAGGGAGACTTTCATTATCACCACCTGTTTTCAATTACTTTTTTAGTACATATTGCTTTTAGACAGAAGATTTGGGTTTGGTTAAATAAAAAATGAATGTTTGAATATATTCTGTATATGTGCAATCTGAAAGAAGAAGAGCGTGAAAGGTTAATTTTCTGATCCTCCTGGAGTCAGTTTCAAACTTTGGAATAACTGAGGCCAGAAAATCATTTAAAATATGTATGATGTACTTGTAAATAATGACACAAATATAGCCAGACTTCGGACTGAAAAAAGCATGTCATATGGATTTAAAATAATGCTGTAGCTACACATTGCTATTAAATTGATCAAAAATGTGCGGTAAAGAAGAAAAAATGAATGAGCTCAAACTTTGTACAAAGAAATGTTAATCTTCTTCATGATTTTTCTCTGCTGATAAATTTCCAGACAACCGTTCACTAGCAAATGAGTGGTGATTTTATAAGAAGCTTTAAGATGAGGCTTTTATATATCTGGATGAATGGATGTAAAATCAGGTGGGATAAAGCAGCAGAGTAGTTGGCTCTGTATCTGAATAGAGGCCAATGGAACAGAAAAGAGGTGAAGAGCTGCATCAACTGATTTGTCTCTTCTAAGGAGTCAGCAACTTCACTAGTTTGCAAAACAGAAGAAATAAAGGAATAGTGTGTTCCATGAGGAATCTGTTTAGCAGCTTTATTTTATGAAAAATATTTAAATATCAAATCTACATTATTCAAGAAAAAATTGGGAATTTTCACAAATACAGAATTGGATTTAGTGTCATTGATTTGCCCATGCTGTAAGGTAAATTCTGATTAATTACGCAGTTCCACAAATGTGTTCTTGTGGTACAAAAACTCTTTATGTCATCTTTTTTCCAATATGGGCTTGCTGTGCTCTGTGATTTGTTTCTGATGTGTACAGAGCACCTCTTGAAATCAGTTTTGCAAAGTGTGGTAAATCCTGTCTGGCCCACCTGACCTAATTTTACCCTTTTGCAAACAGAACTGTTGTTTCTCTCATGCTATAAGAAGGTGGATGGATGAAATGTTCTAGAGCTTTTTTGTTACGTTGTACCAAGGGATTGCATGTGTCATAATTTACATCACAGAACGTTCTCTGATATTCAGCAGTGCTTCTCTTTAAATTCTCTCTAGTTTGTCGAAACATGACAGTGTTCTCACTGTTCTTTATTCTCCTTATGGCTAGAGAGAAATAGTTAACTGCCAGCCCAGTTGAACTGTAACTTAAAACACATCTATTCACTTCATCTCCTGTTTACTGTTTAGTACACTAAAAAAGACGGAAGTCTTGCTCAAACTTTTTACTTCAGTGGAGAAGGACAACTTCCCACTTACTGCTGTACAGCCAGGCTTAACTGCCAGTAGCCAAATTTCCAAATTCCTCTTCAGTCCCAATTTAGCTCTTAAAGGAGAGCTTTGATGATATTTGTGGGTTTAGTAAGTTTTTGAACTACTGGACTGTCAGCGCTGATAAGAGTGTTCTTGGGGTTTCTAGAGGTCATAAATGGCAAATACAATGTGTTATCCTGGTTCTTGCTGTTACTTTTCCTGGTATTAATAGACACCTTTTCATAGAATGATACTCTTTGTCCGCTCTGCTGGTGTTAAATTATACTTTTGTCATACTAACATATATGGAAGAGAGAGGTAGTTGAGATATATTAAGAAAACTTCTATATGGTGTATATACACTGAATTTCCATAATACAGTATTTCTCTGGGTTGAAGGAAGTGAGTAATATAAAGAACAGTGATTTATAAAAGCCTGCTGTGCCCTTTAAAAAATTGTAAATGATATTTATGTATCTGTGTACTAGTGATTGTAATTAGTTTGTATTCTCTTTTAACAGATTTAGTCCATTTAACCTGTCCATCAACTAAAACTGCTAGGGAAGATTTAGAGCCTGTTGTACAGAAGTTATTCAATCTAAATACAGAAAAAGGTAAAAATAACTAAATGGAGTATTAAGAAGTATTAAATTAAGTATATATTTTGCAAAAATGTGATTTATCCTTGTAACAAACGTATCTGTTACTGAACATCTGAATCTGTTATCAGAGTCAACATATGGTGAGCTGCTACTTAGATATCAGTATTTCAAAGTAAAGGAATTTATTCTGAGAGTGAGATTGATTAGACAGATGTCAGGTTTTTTCTGTTTCATGATCTAATGTTCCAGGTCTTCTTCAGCTGTAGTTTAGTTTCAGTATGGCACAGGATCATGGCTAGAAGTGTCCAGGACCTTTTTGATTTTTCACGCATTCTTTTTCATGGAAACATATTTGCTCCTCAGCATGTCTTTCAAAGGTGCAGTAAGGAAATTAAGTGTTTGTGAATATTTTATTTTTTTTTTAAACTCTGTCCTGTTTTTAGTGAACTCTATCACTTGGGTATCTCTAACAAAAGATCTCAAAACCCCAAAAGTTAATAATCTGCTCTTCTCCTCCAGGTGACAGATGACCTCAGTGCTATAACAGTCTTAGTGTTCTTTTGCTTTCTTTTACTGTAACAGCGTTGTGCATCCTTTGTTATCTTCTTCGAGCGCTTCCTTGTTTGCTGTTCTTTCTTTAAATTCTCTGGTTTCTGCTTGAAGCAGTGGAAGCCTAAAGTTGTTAACACTGCAGTGTTATCAGGAAGATAGATTTCCAGTCATTTCCAATAACAAACTGTTTTGCCCTAAATTAAGGACACCTTAACCGCTACTTTGATGAACTTTGACCTCAAGGTGGACAATTTCACAGTTCCAGAAGAAAGTAGCTGTTGACAAAGAAGTTTTTACCTAGAAAGAAATTGTCCCTGAGATACTTTGAGGAAGTTCCACAGAAACTTAGAAATTTAATCCTGAGATCTTTAGTCATATTTTTGGTAGATGCTCATAGAATAGTTAGCACATAGAAGATGTTGCTGTGTTCTAACCCTGGCAAAGCATATTTAAATATAGCATGCTCCTACTTAAATAGATTGTAGTTCTTCTATCAGGAAACAATTCTTAACTGTCAGTGGAGGTGTTTATGTTCATATATATATATGCAAGTTAGATGTGGATGTATTTTATAATATTTATAATTGGTTTGCTTATAATATTTGCTGTTATGCTTCATTCTTAACCTTGTGAATTTTCTCCTGCTTAAAAAAAAAAGGCAAAAAAAAAAAAAAGGCTTTTCTGTGGCCACTCTTTCCTTTTCCTCTCAGGGTAACCAAGAGCAGTGTTTCATGAAGGACTGAGTTCAGCTTTTCACTAGTTTGTTTTTCTGTGCTCTTTTCAATTTTTACATTTTTTTTTCCTCTTCTTTTTAATGAAAAAAGCAAATAACTTACTGTTTTTATTAGACAACAAAGTGTTCTTAATAGGAAGTGAAATATTAAATAATATGCATATTATTATTTTTTTTGCTTACAGGGAAGGCAATTATTTTGATATCCCAAAGATGTAAATTTTTTACTAGGTTTGTAGTATAAGAACCTTTACAAAACAAACATATACAATACAACTAAGGTTTGTAAATAGAAAACTTGATTAAATTGGAGAGCTGCAAACACTTCTCGTGTTGATATTTGTTAATTTTAAGCCTGCTAATTTCTAATTTTTAATATTAAACATATATCTTAAATATTCAAGACAGTGCCATGTGTTTCAAAGGCTCAATTGATGAAGAAAAGATTAGCTTGCAGTTTAGTGTCTTCTAATCATTTCGGGGCGGGGGGGAGTTAGTATTAATCTTAATGTTTAAAGTGATACAGTTTTGAAATGATAGATTGTTTAGAACCTGACTGAAATTCTTCTGTAGAAACTCTGTGATCATAGGGGTCCTCAGGTGCACTGAGGCACTGAAAAGCTAGTTTTCACTGACACATAGGCCTTTTTATCATCAGGATGAGGTAGTGGTCGTATTTTAATTAAAATGTCAGAACAAATACTGTTGGAGTTATTGAAAATGAATCACCAGATAAAGTGAGCACTGGGCCATGGCAGGTCAAAGAGGCAAAGTCACCTGGAGAAGAGGACTCCATTCATTTTCCTGCCTAAATGAGGAAGAAGTAACTTTTATGAGCAATGTGAACTTTTAAATATATTAAAGAGCATCTTGAGCTGTATTAAGGCTCAGACTTTCACAGGCTGATGAATTTAATTTATATTTCAAACTGTTCAGTATGGTTAGCACCTATTTTTTTTTAAAGTATTTGACAGTTATAAAAAGATACTGATGGAATAGTGTAGATTTATCTCTTTTTTTTTTTTTTTTCTAGTTCAACTGCTTTAAAATACTGTTTTGAATGCCATTGTTATCTAGAAGTTTCTTCCTTGGAAGGAAGTAAATCTCACAAGGTCTTTTACAAGCTTCATTTATTATAGAGGAGGTAAAATACCAGAAAGGGGATAGCAAATATGCCAAACAAATAGTATCTATTAAGCTAAGAATCTATGTTGTGTATTCCTCCATTGCATTCTGCACTGTTAAAAAGTGACCTTCATATTCCCAGAGGTTTTCTCCCTGTGCCAGGAGGAGGTGATATGAATGTGTAAAGTAACTGCAAGAAAGTATAGATGATGAACAAGCAAGACATAGTTTATGATCATTTTGTATTTGTAATGAGAATTGTAGCACAGTTCAAGTCCTCAGTAAGCATAGGTAAATATAAATTAATATTTTATTTTCATTTAGCAGTATTTTCACAATTTAGAGATTCTACATACTGCTTATCACACATCTCAAGTAGAGAGTTTTGATAATTCTTTATTGGCAGTTAATTTGGGGGGTGGGTGGGTTATTCTGTGTGACTTTTTCTTGAATTTTTTTTTTTTATTTAATCCATGAGCATGAGTTAGTCTCCTTAGATTGGCTTGAAGACACTCAACCTTAAAGCACGCAAAGGTCCATTATGAGAAGAGTTCCCATACAGAAATAAGCTATTAAATGAGTGGAAAAAAAAGTCTACATCAAAAATATCTTTGCATGTGGAATACAATAACTTCAAGCTGGCACAGCCTGTGAAGGTCTTGTTCAGACTGTCATATGCTCATGGAGTTGATTATCTAGAGTAGACTAGATAACATGAAGTATCAAGGCCTTAAATTTAGACCAAGTTTCTTGGTTGTATGCTTTTAGGTGATAAGTGGTTCTTACATGGCATAATGTGTACAGAATAATTAGGGTTTCCATACATATGATTGTAAAGGAAAAGTACAATGAAAGAGTACCTCAGAAAAGAAAAAGTTAAATGAATTGGCTTTTTAAAGAAAAAAAAAACACTTTATTACAGTAATTCCATGTCAATAAGTTGACTTTTATTATGCTAGGTTAAAAATTTCCCTTATTACGTGTGAACATTCATTACTGGAAACACTTTTTTTTGTCTTTTCAGAGACTGAAAATGAAGAACTGGAAAAACCTAGAGTCCTCTGGGCAGTCTACTTCAACATGAGAGATTCTTCAGGAATTGACAGAAATTCATATGTTGGCTTACCCCCAAATGTTTATGTCTGTTCTGGACCAGACCCTGCTCTGGGAAATGACTGTGCTGTCAAACAGGTTGGGCAGATCAGTTTTTTCAGTTGTAGAACTTGAATTTTAAAAACCTGAGGAAGTCCAATACAGTCTACTTTTGTTCTGGATTATTCTGCTTTGTGCTATATAGTTAGTACTAATGCAGATGTAAAGCTTCACAGCCAGACAGAAAAAAATCTTACTTAATGAGCAAAGTAAATGTCAGTGGGATAGAGGACTGAGGAAACTTGAGAATAGGTCAGTCAATACAGTAACATTAGGAATTCATATAGTTCATCTGAATAGGTAAGGGGAACTTAGAAGGGTACCTGAAGATGATTTTGGTGGAATGGTTACTCACTCTTATACTGCGGAAAGGAAGAACTGTCAAATAATTCAGAAATATAGACGGTAACTCCCCAAAATATGTAGAATTTCACCTGTAAGGTTAAAGAGGAGGTACAGTAGTAGAGAAGCAGTACAAATCAAAGGTCAGAAAAGCCTAACTACAGCTCAAGTTGAAAGGATCATCAAAGTAGTTTAATACCTGCAGGACAGTCACAAACCTAAAACCTGGTGGGGGAAAAAAGCCCAGTACATTACTGATCTGGTACATTAAGCTATCTGTCTCAGTTTACCATCTCTTTGCCTTAGTATCACTGTACTAAAAACTTACGGAGTAATTGTGTCTCTGAAGGAATTGAGGGGAATGTCATTCTGTTTGTGACCTTGAGATAGTATTTGGCACAAAATCACACTCAGTTCTGATTTTTAGTTCTCAGTATTTGAGTGTCTATATATCTACTTCCTGCTAACTAGAATCTTGAACTGAGAGCTCCTTGCATTTTGCCCAGTAGTAGGCATGCCATGCTAGTACTCAATTTAAGACAAACTACTAGTGCTTTGAAATTGGAGGTGAAGAGAGAAAGCTCCATAAACAAAACCAGATGGAGAGGTTGTGAAATAGCCACCTTCTGCGTGGCAATAGGCAGAATAAGCAGGGACATCAGATTTTCAAGCGTAGGTATGGAAATGTACAAAGAACTTCATATGAGGCTCTCATTATGCCTCCCCCACTATGAGTGAATGGAAGGCAACAAGATCTTTACTTGTTCAACGAAAGACAGCTACAGGAATGCTTCTTGGCTCTTCCATTCAGAGATCCACCTTGCCTAAGGAAGGTGTAAGTTCCTAGGCAAATCTACCACAGCAGTTGCTGTGGTGTCAGGGTGCTTTCAGGGCTTCACATGAGAACACTTTTATGTCTTTGTAGGATTATCTGGCAGTAGGCATTTTTAAAGCTGTTTTTTAGCAGCTGTGTTCAGAGAATGTGCAGGCCGTTTTCTAAGCAGTTGCAGGATATTTTTATGGCTAAGTCATAAACCTCTTAAAAAGAAGATTTTAAAGTGGAAAGGCTGACATACCCTGAACTGTAGGGTCAGAACAGTATAATTAAGGGCTAATAGTACCCTTCATTTTGCTTTACAAGGCAATAATTTGCCTCCCAAAAGGATAAAGAATTATAAAGACAAAAAATAATGCAAGACAATTATTATGGTAGCAGTTTTAAATAGTAAATGAGCTCTTTTGTAGATGAGATTTTTTTAACAGTTATTTAAAACAGGGCAAGTTAAAAGCTCTTTAAATACACTTAAAAGCCAGACTATTTCTAATTCTGATAGCCACCTTTTCTAGCAGTCAGCTTTGACCTTAGGAGCTCTTTTTCAAACCGATGACTATATCCTACCAATATCTGAAGGAAGCCTGCAGGACAGCAGGCTGTCAGGAAGTGTAGTGACAGGACAAGGGGTAACAATGTTAAATTGAAAGAGGGGAGATTTAGATTAGATACCAGAAAGAAATTCTTTACTGTGAGGGTGGTGAGGCAGTGGAACAGGGAAGTTGGGGATGCCCCATCCATGGAGGTGTTCAAGGCCAGGCTGGTTGGGGCTTTGAGCAACCTGCTCTAGGGGGAGGTGTCCCTGCCCGTGGCAGGGGGGTTGGAACTCGATGATCTTCAAGGTCCTTTCCAACTCTAACCATTCTATGATTCTATGACTAGTGATGTCAAGCTGTGCTTAAATATTCTAGGTGCTGTAGTTAGCCTGTGTGTTAAATCTGTTGACCATTAGTGAGATAGATGTTAAGCAAGTAGAGGAGAAGCAATCAAGAGCCCAAAACACTGCCTTTCAGAAAAAGTAGATAGAAGATAAATTTTCTTGAACCTATTTTAAATTTTGAAACAAATGGTCACTAGTTAGAGTGAAGAATATTTTAGTGTAAACAAGTTTATAATTAAAAGCTATTAATAGGGAAAAAAGTGAGGAACTTATATGAGAACAAAGTGAAGAATAGCCTTAAGATGAAGAACTCGCAGATAGAATACACCCTTCCCATCCTCATGCAGCAGGTGTCTTCTAGACAAAGAGGAGAAGGCAAATACATGTAAGTTGGTGTGCCTTCTGCCCCCAAGTCACTTTTATCTTCTAGCAATGGGATGCAAATCTCCAAACATGAAATATTTACTCATGAATCTGAGTGCTTTAAAAAATAAGCATAAAACCACATTGTGTATAAGTCTTGGAGATAGCTTGGAGAATTGAATCTAATTTCTCTAATCAGTGTTTAATGTTTTAATGATACTTCCCATGATCTATGTTTTCATTACCATTAGTATTACTATATGTCATGCTGTTTGATTGTATTGATGATACATTATTTAGAAGGCGACACCACAGATTTTACAGACAGTTATCCATCTATAGCTCAGTATACAACTTATTTTTGTTTTATTTTCTAGTTTATTTATATTCCTAATATATTACTGAATTAATTTTGATGTCTGCATTTACTTGCCCTAAGGATAGGCTAAGTAAAATGTAAAGAGCCATTTATGATTCCTTCAAATTCTGTATGTATGGATCCAGTAAAGCATCTGGCTTCCGGTTTTGTATTTTTTCACTGCTACAACCTGATGTGAATTTTTGTCTTCTAAAGTAGCATGTTCCCTGAAGTATTTCAGATTTCTGAGGAATCTTCATATGCATAAGAGGAAGCACTAAAATTGTCAGGCCAATATTTGCCCTTTAACTTTTTTACCTTTTTTTCTCTATCTGGAAGGATTTCAGAGTTATTCAAGTGTGTCATATTTCAAACTACTTTTAGTTTGGTAGTGTTCTTCATAAAAGTTGCTATGAAAGCCCATGCAGCTTGCCTACATGCCATCAAGGTGGGTAGTTGGGATGCAGTAAAACAGTAACAAAACATGATTTTATTCAACTTCAAGCAGAATAACAGTTATTAAATTAAAGTATCTATGCAAGTGCTTTACTTGCTTATGTCTTAATGCTTAATTCAAATGTACACACTTGAAAGCTGGTACACTTAACTACTAAATATTGAAGGAAGTATTTACTAACTGAATTAGTTACAGTAAGTATCAAAGTGTTATAATAAAGGAGCTCTTAAATTATTACTGGTTATTCTGCATGACTTCAGCTGGATAAGGTTAACTTAAAAAATTGGTAGACCTGAAAGCACTCTATACCATTAAATTGTTCAATTATAATCAATGTCATGATGTCCTACATAACATACTGAGACTTTCTTTCCATGTTCAACCGCATAATTATTTGACCATTTTTGGAGTAGATAGTCACTAACTAATTGGAGACTGAATAATTGTTGAGAACTGCATAGGAAGTGTTTGATCTAGTTCATCATATATTTAGTGCAAAATACAACACTTCAATAGTCTTTTAAATATAATAATAGTTGAAATATATTGCTGGAGTTTCAAGGACAAGTGCAGACTTGAAATAAAAAGTCTGTTACCTTCAAAAACTTTGTTTTGTAAACTTTTTGTACAATGTTTGTACATCCTTGCCCTCCTGAGTTTTTTTAAGTTATAAAACCATGTTTTTGAAGTAGAGAACAGATTTTTTTATACATATGTGTATTTATATACTAATATAAGTAGTTTAAAACAGGTTTAAATGGGTACGGAAGAGTGAAATTTAGGAAGCAGAATGAAAAATTAAATTGAACTAAGAGTAGACAGGGTCATTTAAGCAGTTAATAATGGAGTCCTGCATCCACGTGCTGGTGATACAAATCCACTGCTGGTGGGCAGTGAAGTTTATCACAGAAAGCTGTTTGGTACATGCTCAATGATTTATTAATCTGAAAACAATTCCCTCTTGTCCAGGAATCCACATCATGTAATCAGCCTTTGCAGTTGGCATTAACTGACCCTACTGTCAGCTTTTTCAGTGCAGTGTCTGGTAGCAGTATGAATATAAAGATTAAATGCATTCTTGCCTGTGTGGGAGTTCTCATCACAGGTCGTCTTTAGGGCATAGTTTACTAAATAGACAAAATCGAGAGGCAATATTCCTGTGCCTTTTTAGAAACCTGGAGCTCACCGGAACTGTGATCTGCAGCAGTTGTCTCCATTTGCCTTAGAAGCTTAAGGACTTGGAAAAGCAAACCTTTATGGAAATGTGAAGTGCATGTTGATTCAGTAAATAAATTGCTGAGTGTCTCAACTTTTTTTTTCAAGATAAGCTCATAGATAGGTTATTTGCACAAGAACATGTAGAACTATTTAAGACTAATTAACAAAGCTCCTTGCATTCATGTGTTTTTTAAAGGATTTATGGCCTCCATTTTTATAAAATATATGGTTCTCAAGAATTCTAAGATCTTATGATTTTGCTTCTTTTTCTCCCAGATTTCGTAGTTGCATTCTGTATATATAACAACTACTCTGATGTTGTCAAGAACATGTTTCTTTTTAACATCTTTCATTTGAAAGTACAAAACTTGACTTTTTGTGTGTACTTATTTTCTAAACCTCGATGGCATGAAGAGTAAGTGGTATTGTAAATTAAATCCTTGAGCTGTATTTTAAGAGTTAACGGTCTTTTTATGTAAATAAAAGTTGCTTATACAGTGCTTTTCAGAAAGACACAATTTGTGCACATAGCTGTATGCACATACATACATATGCTCATGCAATACATTGAAATGGTAGAAAAAAATTTTAATAATAAATGTATCATATGCAAATATCCATGTATTTTTCATACTAATATTCCATTGGATGTGCATAGTTCTCAGTTGAACTATCTGTGAGCTGTTCAGAAAAAGAGAACTGGAAATCTTTTTGTAGCTTTTAAATTTAAGAAGGGATCCTGTATAGATATGATGTTGATCGTACACATTAACAATTTCCTGGCTTTGATTGTGATGTGAAATGGATTCTTCTCCCTGAAAAGAGGCAAGATCTTTCCCATGATTTGCATATAACTGCAGCTAAGGGTATTTTTATAGTGGGAAAGATTATTTTGCTTACAATAAATCAGCTCTGTTCTTAGTACAATGTAGAATAACCAGCATTTTTTAAAAAGCCCTATGCTCTGACTTTCCTAGTAGAACAATGTAAAAGGATAGAGTGCTTTTTCTTTTTTGAGGACTGCAAGAAGGTGTGAATTTCCCATGTGCTTACACACTGTCACATTATTAAATCACTATTTATTTGAAAGAACAGAGGTTAATGTTAAATTTCTGTAAGATACTGCTCCAAGGTATTTAATTTCAAAGTAAAGTTTATTTTATGTTTTTTTTCTGAATAGGCTGAGACTATTTTCCAAGAAATGTTTCCTACAGAGGAATTTTGCCCACCACCACCAAATCCAGAAGATATTATCTATGATGAAGATGAGATTGCGCCAGAAGAGACTGGATTCAGTAATTCACCAGAGACAAAACCTGAATCCTCAAGTGAGGAAAGCAGTAGCGGAGGGACTACTGCTGTTAAGAAAGAAGATAATGAAAAATGAATAACACTGTTCTCTTAGCAGAAGAGGAAGTTGGCCCAAACTAAAATGTAAGGCAGGAAGGGTAAGAAAAAGAAGTTAAAAAAACTCATAGCCATATTGCAATTGCATTGCTTTCTTTAGCTTGAATAATCTTTCTTTGTCAAATAGTTTCATTGACATAGGCCCATGAGATGCAAGGGTGTTTGTAGCTGAACAAAAGATACAGGAAAAAAGCATTGATTTAAAAATGCTTAAATATGATTCATGATTTGTTGAGAGGGTTTGATTTTCTTTTACAGCTTGGAAGGAATCCTCCATCTTTTAAACAGGTAACAAGTGGAAGCTAATCAAAAGAAAAAATCATAGAATTGTCGAGGTTGGTAGGGACCTTTAAGATCATGTAGTCCAACCATCAGCCTAACTGATTAAAAAAAATATCATTAAACCATGTCGCTAACCACTATGTCAACCCGTCTTTTGAATACCTCCAGGGATGGTTCCTGAACCGCTTCCCTGGGCTGCCCATTCCAATGCTTAATAACCCTTTCAGTGTAAAATTTTTTCCTAATAGCCAATCTGAACCTCCCCTGGCACAACTTAAGGCCGTTTCCTCTTGTCCTGTCACCTGTGATTTGGGAGAAGAGACCAACCCCCGCGTCTCTGCAACCTCCTTTCAGGTAGTTGTAGAGGGCAATGAGGTCTCCCCTCAGCCTCCTCCAGACTTGGAGAAGTTCCCTCAGCCTCCCTTCATAGGACTTGTTCTCTAGACCCCTCACCAGCTTGGTGGCTCTCCTCTGGACACACTCCAGCACTTCAGTGTCCTCCCTGTACTGAGGGGCCCAGAACTGAACACACTACTTGAGGTGAGGCCTCACCAGTGCCCAGTACAGGGGCATGATGACTTCCCTACTCCTGCTGGCCACGCTATTCCTGATACAGGCCAGGATGCCATTGGCCTTCTTGGCCACCTGGGCACACTGCTGGCTCATGTTAAGCCGGCTGACCAACGTCCCCAGGTCCCTTTCTGCTGGGCAGCTTTCCAGCCACTCTTCCCCAAGCCTGTAGCGTTGCCTGGGGTTGTTGTGACCGAAATGCAGGACCTGGCACTTGGCCTTCTTGAACCTTATGCCATTGGCCTTAGCCCATTGATCCAATCTGTCCAGGTCCCTCTGTAGAGCCTTCCTACCCTCAAGCAGATCAAGATTCTCACCTAGTTTGGTGTTATCTGCAAACTTACTGAGGGTGCACTCAATCTCCTCATCCAGATCATCAATAAAGATATTAAACAAGACTGGCCCCAAAACTGAGCCCTGAGGGACACCACTGGTGACCGGCCACCAACCAAATTTCACCCCATTAATCACAACTCATATGTGAGTGACAAACATCATTAGTTAAGGTTTTTTGAAGTGGGGAGAAGGTTCAATTGATAATTCCAAAGGTTTGTATTGATCCCAGTTAATAGGCTTAAAATTAGTGTGATAGCTGTAAATTATGCATTTTGTAATGATAAATCATAAAGCATTTATACAGTGAAATTTATTGAAGTATTTATAAGCCTGATTTGTATGAAAAATTAAAAAATGAGAAGGCTCTTGTAAATGACTGTGATAAACTTGCACTTCTGAACAGTGCTTGAAATTAAGATATTCAGATGATGAGAAATATTTAGTATTTACTTAAAATATGCACCAAATAGATCAGTAGTATATCTAAATATAGAGATCAGTGAATTTTGATGAATCAGGGTTTAAACTTCTACATGAACTTAGATATAGTTCTAGCAGTGCTTAAATGGTGTACATAAAAAAAAATTGCCATTATATAATGAATATTCAGCACTGCCTGAACTTGACACATTCAGGCTTTTGTACAGTTTCTCCGTGCATGTGCCTGCCTTTAAAATGGCTTCATGCCATAAAGGTTAATTTATTTATTTTTTTACAGCATAATTGATACGGTTAGCTTCACTTTCTCTTGTATTATAATATATTGTCCAATTTGCATTTCGAAACCTGTTTTTTTGGTGTTTACATTCTTTGTTTATTGGATAGGTACCATTGTGTGCATAATCCCAAAGTCCTCAGAAGAATATGTCGCTGAAATGTTTTCAATGTTAAACAACAGTTATCTTTGGATGCTTGTGATGATTGAGCAGTTATTTATATATAGTAATAAGCAACTGCCTCTTCATTTAGCTGTAAATTTTATGTGTATTGGAAAGCATGAGTACATGGTAATTGTATTTAACATCTACTAATTTGTAAAAGAACTAAGTGGAGGACCTAGTCCCTGTTTGTCTTCTAGTAATAGGTATCATAGTTGAGTTTTTCATCTTCCATGTTTACAAGGAAATCGTTTGATGAAAATTAAAGGTTTGCTTGCAAGTGCATTTTTCTGTGTTTTCTTTCAATTATGCAAGAGAAGCAGTACATTTGTTAGCTGAGATTTCCTGGTTATTGTTGTCTACTTTCATCATGTTGACATCTGTAATAAGATTGAAGCTTACATGTATGACAGTATGTTTATATGAGTTAGCAAGTTTATATAAAGTAACATCTTTGTGCTTCGTGTCCATGGGAAGCAAAGTTTGGAAATTGATTTGGTTCGTGTCCATGGGAAGCAAAGTTTGGAAATACTGCAAATTTGATTTTAGATAAGATAGAATAATCTACAAGTTGTAAGCTATGACTTTACACTACATTGATTACCTAAAAACTGTTCTCATGTCTCATTTGTATGGTGAATGGAAACATAAAATGTTTTTCCTATGGTACTTGGGTACCCAATAGCTCACTTGCAAAAGCTGTAGATAAGACTGTTGATCTTTGTATTTTACAGAAATCATGCGCTGAACTGCATTTTGTTCTTGCTTTAAATGATTTAAGTGTTCAAAGCGAGGGTTAGGCTTATTTGAAGTAGTTTTTAAGGCTTGTCATACAGGATGTATTCAAAAGATAACATGACTTTTTAAAAACTGGCAATTTATCTGTAGGATTATTAATAAATCAAGTTAAAGAAAGATAAGGTTAATTGAATTTTTAAACAAGTAGCTGTATTATCCTTCAAGCACCTTGGAGCTCATACAATATTCACACCTTTTTTTTTCTAAGGAGTGCTTTGATATGTTTGAATTCCTTTTTTAATGAGTACTTTCTTTTTAACTTGGTTAATTGGATTAACCCTTAATATTCAAACAGTCAATTTTATGTCATTTTCCCTTCTGCTGTTGTATTGCCTTATCTGTATGACTGCAATTAGTTACTGTTCCTTTGCAAGTATTTTCAGCCATGAAGCTGCTACGTCTGCTTTTTCTGGTGATGATGATGCTTAGGGCCATTTGACAGGTAATCATTAGAACTTAGATCCTTGCAGACTACGGGGTCTTTTCTCCTATCATTGCAGGGGGATTTATGTAGGTAACTCCTATTAATGTTAATGGGACTTGCATGTGTAAATCCTCCTTGCATCAATGGGAAAATTGACCCCTGAAAAAAAAAACACTTCATGTTAGACTTGCTGATTCAGAAACGTCCAGGCACTGTCAGCTCCAGTGTGGAAATGTGATGGAGCACATGCTTTGTGCGATTACACTGAAATGCTCTGAAGGGGACTTGGGGAACTTACAGGGGGGGTTGTCTTTTTTATTGTATTTTATATTTTCCATACACTTCCAAGTCTCGTCAGAGTTCCTCTCACATTCTCTTTATATAGCTAGTATCCATTTCACTTTCTGTATTCAGGAGGGCTCCTTTTGCTTCAGCTCTCTCTGTATTTTAGGCTCCTCTTTCTCCCCTCTAAATCTTTTTAATTAGCAGTGTGAGTTGTAACATCTTAATTTCAAGAACAGTTTGCTAGTAATGTATTGATTAACGACAAGTCAGAATTATTAAAATACTGTTTTCACACAATAAGAGATTAGGTCTATAATTTAAAATGTTGAAAGAGTAAAATCAATTTCCTCAACACTTTTCCAGGTTGGGAATGGGAAAACATGAACTACCCACTTTCCTCAGGTGGTGGAAAGGAGAGACAAACAGGTGGAAATAGCTAAAGCAGGATTGTTGTAGTGAGAGTATTAAATGGGGGCTGTTTGTCATAACCTTCAAGCTCTGAGATCAACCAAGTCTTGCACTTTTATTTCCCTTTCTGCTGTGTGAGATTTCTACACAATTTCTAACAGTTTATGGACTCTGGAGAAAAAATTATGTATGTGTGTTTTCAAATGAGGCAACAACAATTAACCAAGAATGAAACAAAATATAAATGGAGCAATATCTGGCACATGCACTGGGGGCTTGGCAATACAAATAAGAATATTATTTTTTTATCTGTGGACATGTTTATCCAGTCTTTATTTTGTTGCTCAGTCAGTTACTAATGTAGATCTTTCATGTAATCCTCTGCAGTACATTTTAGATTTTTACTTATCTGACAACTTGATATCAGTAGCAAATTTTATTACCGCTTTTCTTAACATGATTTATGAAATTATTCCGCAGCACAGGTTTGAGATGATTCCTACTTTTTTGCTAGCTGCCAGTCAATAATAGCATCCTTTTACCTCTCATGGTTAGGGTTGGTGTTTTTAAGAGTCTTTGAAGGGTCATGTCAGCAGTTTCGGGGAAGGCTAGCATCATTATAATCTGGATAGTCCATATCCATCAAATTAGACTCCTCAAAAATTGTTGTAGATTTGTGAATCTGACACAGCTTTTCTCTATGAAAGCCTTGTTAAGTCTTCCCCAATATTATGCCTGTTCATATCTACTAATTCTTTCTTTATGATAGTTTTTATCAATTTGCCTGCCATGGAAAGTAGATTTCATTCAGTTGCAACCATAAAGCAGCTCCCTTGAAAAAAAAAAAGCTCCCTTAAGGAAAAGAGAAGTTTCAAGTCATCCCCTTAAAAAGTAAAAATTCTAGTGTCAGAACCACCCTAAATTGCTGCAAAGATCTCTTCCGGCTTTTCTGCTGTAATGAATGTTCTCTTCACCCATTAATTATCCATATGCTCTGCAGATTCTGGTGGGTTATCTGCTGTTGATGCTCTTATTATTTTTCCTTAGGATTCTGTGACTGCAGTTAATGCAGTTGCTAATTTTCCAATTATGGGAGCAAGTTACTGAGATCACATCATGAAACTTAATTGATTTGTGTGTGTGTGTGTATACAATTCTTAACAGATTTTTTTTCCAAATAGTATTAATTAGTTTTGTGTGTATGTGTGCATGCATATCTTGTGACAAAATTATTAACTCATAAAAATTCATAATTCATGACAGAATTGTTAATTCATAACAGTCTATTATTTAAACTTTTGCAGAAATCAACCACTATAGAATGTCCAAAAGTTAGAATTACCTGCTATTATACCAAAACTGTCAAAAATATGCGGGAGAGTTGTGGCAGGGCAGTTGCTTGCATTCCATGGGTAAGTAGTAACACCAGGTATCTTTGGTAAGATGTAG